AAAAAAAAAAAAAAAAGACGCGCGTGGTCGAATGGTTAGCGCGCTTGACTGTCACGCGGAATAGCTAGGCCTCCTGCGCTGAAGCTTTGAACAGAGCCGGCTGTGGCTTTGAACCAACTGTAGCGCCCTCATTTTGAGTAGTGCTCACCTGATTGAGCCTCGCACTACTTATGGCACGTTGGTTGGGCTTCTTTAATTCTGTCTGGTGCTGAAGAACGAAAAACCCCCTTTGAACGCCAGAAATTGGCCAGACTCCACGCCGCAAGACAATCAAAAGTGCCAAATTCATGAGACTTCCGCTAGGGTACGCCTCTCTTACCTACGGGTGGTGACGTCTAAGCTAATGTCAACAAACATTAGCTTAGTTTCTGCTTCATTTCATTGCACTCGTGTAAAAAAGTATTACACAATTTTGTTTTATTTCTGTGGACAATAATAAAAGCATTGCGACACGTAACATTCTGCGTTTTGATGGGCTCCAAGAGGACATAGAAATAAACTGACAGGCGCCTTGCATCTCTCAGCTTGTCTCGTTTTTTTCGGTGCCTTTCAAAACCGGACAAATGAACCAACTGACCTAACCTGACCCAGCCGGCTCTTTTAAGCGTCTTGCATGTTCAGCCTGTCCTAGTCTTTGTTGTTATTTTCAGTGCCTACAAAAAAAAAATTACCACGCAGCAACTGCACCAACTTATCACATTACTACATTTCATGATATGTGGAAGCTTAAAAGTGAAATTCAGACAAAATGAAAGGTTCCTTGCGTTATTCGAGACCTATAGGAAAAGGGAGCGAACAGAGGGTGACCACATTTAAACGAGGTTTCTTCACTTGCAGCCAGAAAGACGGACAAGGGAAAGCTGTAGCAAACTCCGTTCTTTCTTTGGACCTCTAACAAGCGAAGGAATAAGGAAGGTGGCAGAAAACATTCAACATCATGGCTGCACATGACATTCCAGAGTGAAAAGTTGTTTCGTGAAGCTGACCTATATCGTGGTTTCATAATTCTTTAACTCCTCTATATAGCGCAGCTCTTCACAGCATGGGAAAAAAATTGGTGTTCAAACCTTATATTAACATTGCCAATATTTAAAGGATCCCAATCATAAAAAATAACATTAATAAAAAAGAATAAAAAAAAGGTCATTGTAGAGTAACACCATGTGCTAAAGGCAACTACCTCCTACTGTGCCCTCTTGCATGATCCAACTCACTGCCTCCTCCCGTTGTCGGCTGGCTGCATTACTTGTTGGCCTTTTACCCTTCGATGTTTTTGCTGCCAAAATAAAATAGAATCAACATTGTTGGCAAAAGTTAGTACAATAATTATACAGTGGGCTCACGATAATTCAAACTCAAATATTTCATACTTTTGGTTAAATAATATTTAAACAAATTTGGAAAATTTGGTTGTCCCGTTGTGTTTTTAATAAGCCGCTTAATTCAAATTGTGTGTTCATGTAATGTATACTTCTTGTTCACGCGGCCCCGTTAAGCGCGCTTCTTTCCGAGCACCTGGTGCACTGCGGAGAAACAACACTCGCGGAGCTCGCTTTCGCGGGTGTTGCTTCCGGCAGAGAATCTTTGCTCGGTAACAAGCGCGCTCAACGCTGCTAGGGCAGGGAACACATAAGCGATGAAAACAGGCGCAGCGTGGCAGTTTTTATAGCACCTTACGCGGACCTAGTTCTACGTCACAGCAGCCGCTCAAGTTGGTATGGAAGCTGCCGCGCGGCATCCATTTTTATCGTTCATGAGTCTCCTGCTTAATAGTCCACATTGGATAACTTCCTTCTTAGATGAACCAACTTAATTTTGTTTTGAAGTGTCATATGCTGCCTCAACAGTAAACGAAAAACAACATTTTTAAAAGATGAATAAACCTGTGTTATACAACTGATAAGGACAGATAAGGTTGATAAGAGTTCATGTTGAAAAAACATGAACTCTTACCTTCGTCTTTTTGTCCTCATCCCAGTCGCGCGGTTTTACCAACATGAATTTTCATACATTTCACCAATGTTTTATGTGTGGCATTCCCGCTTATGATATTAGTAAACCTGTGTACAAGAAGTCATCAAATACCTTTTCTCGCATTAAATTTAAACGACCCTCCAATGAATTAAACTTATAATAATTGAAACAAAATTCGTAGCTTCCTGGAGTTTGAATTAATGATTGTGCCTACTGGAAATGATTTCTCTTCTGAAGTCTAAGGCATGAGAAATTATGAGACTTGTTAGTTAATTGCAACAGCCTAAACATATATTACAGAGGAGGCGTAGCTTGCAAGATGAACACTGTGTCAATCTCTGAGCTCAACCGCCCCAGTCATGAAGCGCTAAACAATGCACACTACAACAGTGAGGATAAGCTGTGCAGTAGACCGACAGACACTTGCAATAATATATGCATACAAGGTTGCATGGACAGCATAGCTTGAAAGAATAACAGTGCCAGGAGACAATGGACAAGTAAGACAGCATCAAAGCTAGTGCGTTCCGCTTACACAATGTCTCTCCGTGCTTTTACTCTTTCCAGGTTTGACATACCTACAAAGGGTAGTCATCTACCTATATGGTAGGCAGCCAAAGGTTATTACTACATACAAAGTAAACAAACAGAAAACAAAAAAATGTATATGGTGCAAAAACAAAAACAAGAAATGCTTGCCAAATGTACACACCTTAACGAAATAATTGAACAAATTAATCATCAAACACGAGGCAATTCACACATAAGAGTAAACAAAAATATGGTACTACACAACTTAACTTCAATTAAAAAGGTAGCTTTAGAAATGGTCTTGCCTCTATAGGTCGTTTCGTCAGCAGCATGGCCTCGGAATATGAAGTCCAAATACACTCGGACTCAATAGCCCGAGGCCACATAGTTACATATGCAACTTCTGCAGGAACAACTTGTAAGCTTTTTCATTCTCAAACACAAACATTCTTGAGGGTATATAAAATTCTCTGCAGAGAGACAACCTTGAAAATCAAATCTGGACGGGACAAACCTGGCTTTCGTCCAGACTCATCATAAAGTGCTGCGCACTCAAGCAGAAGGCGTGCCTCCTCATAAAATTGTTCTTCAGTTCCTGATCTGGAAGGGAAACACATGCCTGCTGCTTTAGAATATGCAAAACAATACTTTTTATTAGTGATAGAAACATCATTGTACTTAAAAGTACACTGAAGCTTTTTTTGCCTTTCCTATGATAAAAACATTTGGTGTCACTAAAAGAAAGTGAACTATTTCGGCCTAAACCTTTCATTAAAACATGTCTCCAGATCCTAGGTTTGATCAGTTAAGCACGAGTAGCACAAGTTTCACCCTCATAGAATGTGTGGCAGTACACATGCAACTTTTTTCATGTAGCGCCTCTTTGCAGTGTCTAACTCAACATGTTATGAAAAAGCCCATATGTCTACTTTTCACAAAAGCATGCAAAGTCCTTCCGCATGACTCCCACACATAAACGATGTGTCAGATCAAATTTGTGGCAAAATGAGCAGCCCGAGGCTGAATATCTCCAATACAGTTCACAAATCTTATCTGGGAAATGTTTCAACTCCAAATTTGATCTGTGCTAGTTTCTCTGTTTATCTACTTCCACAAATTGCGATATTTGACTCTCCACATACTCATATCCTATTCAAATATGAGAAAGTACCTATGAAGAAGAGGATATGTTGTGTTTTTACCTTACCCACTTTACCCACCACGAGTCATTTCTTTTAGAAGTGTTTAGACCAAACAACATCTACTTTCCCGTGGTAAGAAATTGTTAAGAGCTTGTGAAATGCTCATAAGATCAGCTACAAAAAACATCATGAAGCATATTCTAGATTAAGAATTTGATGCGCAGGTAGCAAACCGAGAAAGGTTCACTGCGAAAAACCATAGCCAAACAATAAATATAATCACAATATAGAACCATGTTTTGCTTAATATCTATGTCAAACACTGGTATCACATCTAGTATACGGGCAGCTTGCACAGTGTGCTTTTTAATGAGTATCGTATGTAGAAAGTGTAATTTGCAGGCATTCCACTGGAAACTCACTAGTAGGAGCACGAATACCAGAAGTGAAAAAGGAAAATATAGATCTCACCTAACTTTTAATATATTGAGCTTAGACATTACTTAAAACTGTAATAGTTGAGGAGACAAAATATGTAGTAAAAGTAAGGCTGTAAAGGTCTGACACATATGCGGAGCTCAAGTTCGTCTGCTTCTTTTGCAGGAATTGTGGTGATGTCAGAACGCCGAGCTCTGATTGGCTCTGACTGAAGGATAGTGGGTAGACCTTTTTGGTCCGGAGAAAGGGGGGGGGGGGGGGGGGGGGGGGGGGGCTCGCGTTTCCCACCCCCCTTCCCCCAAAGTCTACGCCCATGGTCTCAGCATCTGCTTTTTCGAGGAGCACACAAAAATCAATCATCGTGAAGAAAAGCTGCAGGGTGACTCACTCGTGTCCTTCCGTGACGAAGCAGAGTATTATTTGACATAAAGTGCGGGTAAAGACAGACGTATGACTTGTTGGAGCTTACTGAACTGAATGTACTTAAAAATAGTTTTCATCACGAAATTAAAGACGTCCAGAGAAATTTGAATAACAATAGAGACTTTAATACACAGACGGTTTGGAAAGAATTTCTCTGAACGAGCTTACTAAACAGAGATCGCCTAAACTCTCGGTTTAGCCAGGTGGTTGGCGACTAAGCGACTGTGAGAAAGTTCTCTCACTCTCTTGAGCGAGGCTTATCATTCGAGTACACACGCTACTCACTTTTCGTAAGTTTTGACTCTGCGAGTATCACACTGCCGCCATCCGAATATTTAATTAACGGTTACATTCTCAGTTGAGCCGATTGAGCCACGATCGCGGACGAGAGCCTGGTTTGAGTTTCGGTTTCGGTATGTTAGTGCTTTGTGTTGCGGCTGCGCGACCCGACCGAGCTCAGTGCTGCCATCTTTCAGCGCTTACGCCAAACGTTCAGTCACCATTTTTAAAGAAAGTGAGGCTGGCAGATCTGAGATGGGCGAAGTCTGTGTCAACGTCCATCTGTACCTTACAATGTTTCAAAGAAGGCGAAACGCTTACGCGATCATTATGTATCACTCGCAGTTGTTGTTTGTTACACTTCTAGGTAAGCACGCGTTCCCGGTACATTGCGGCGTTTCACAAGTTTCAACGCTTTGCTCGCGGTGTACTTAGACGCAGAGCGGCGTGGATTGTTTACAGGTGCGCTGCTTTTCGGGGCGCCGGCCGCTTGCGCTAGCAGAGTTCTCGAGCTGAGTGACAGGCAAGTCCGAATTCGTACTCTATCATAGGAAGGCCTTTCGTGTCTCTCGTCAACGCAAAATAAGCTGAAACTGTTGTGAGCGGATCACCAGGAAAGTGGTTTTTCCAAGCGAGGTTTCCTCCTGGGATCGTGATTCGAATCCGGAAACTTTTTTTGCAAAGAATCCCAATGTGCTGAAAATGATGCTTTTTCTAAATTAAACACGCTTTTCTCCACTAGATTTCTGGAAGTCAGACACGAAGGGGTGTGGTTGGTCAAGGTAGGTAGTGTGCGCATTCCGTCGGAAGTGTTTTTATTTGGGTGTGCAGACTGGTCGGATGAACAGCGACGCTTGCTTGCAGTTCTATGCCCCGTGGTGCGGTCACTGCAAGATGCTTGAACCCATTTGGAGCCAAGTCGCGCAGAACTTGGTGGACACCGATATTCGAGTGGCCCGCGTCGACTGCACTCGGTTCACGTCGGTGGCCACGGAGTTCAGCGTCAGGGGCTTCCCCACCGTGCTCTTGTAAGACCCAGTCTTCTGGCCTTTTTTTTCGTCTGTTTATTTTTGTTTTGAGGAAAAAATTTTTTAGAGGAGTCTTTTTTTTTTTTTTTTTGTCGTACGTGGTTGCATTGCATAGGTGCACACAAATCGATTGCCTTCTTCCGTTTTCTTTTCAGCATTAAGGGCCACAAGACTGTAGAATACAAGGGAGACAGAAACAGGGATGAGATAGTCGATTTTGGCCGCAGAATGGACGGGTAAGCTCAACCACTCTGAGCCACTGTCGAATCGACAGTGGCTGCGCGTAAGCGTACCAGAACCCATATGTTTATTTTTATCCGGTTTCGTTCCTAATTCCGTTTAACGACAAAGGACCTTTCTTCATATGAAGAAAGGGTAAAAGCACAGGCGAGCTGGTGAAGAACTTCCATCGTAAACCGGAGACACGGAAAAATAAAAAAACGGACAAAACAACAACAAGTCTCAAACACAGCTTCTAGTTTATTTGAACACCTCCGCTCTTATATATACACAACAACCCTCCTCTCCAAAGGTCGACACACCTCCTCTCCACTCCATCAACGACATCTCAAACTGAACCAATGACGTTTTTTTATTTTTCCGTGTCTCCGGTTTACGATGGAATTTCTTCATATGTCACTCGGCCTACCCTTTCTGGAAAGAAGAGCTGAAATTTTTTTTAAATTTTGATACATAAACTAATGTGCATATAGTTGGTAATAGAAGAAAGCTTTAAAGGGATACTACAACGAAATTTCGATGCTTATTTCTTGGTCTATTCATGTTCAAGGGAGCATTATCACATCAGACACACCAAGCTCTTGTTGAAAAAGACACGAAAAGGAATTTTAAAACGATTAGCAAAGAGCACCTGGTGGATGTCGCTAGCGCCTCGTTTCTAATGCCCGTCTAAGAACCTTGACGGGTAGTGACGATAACTGTCTCGCCTTCGGCCACGACGAGAGAAGAGTGGAAGGAGGAACTCTCCCCTCTCCAAGACTCTCTTTTGTGTGTCCCAGAAGTTGTTATTGTCCCCCTACAAGATTATAGAAGATTAACCCTTCAGTCAAAATTTGTACAAAGGCAGCTTTGGGGTTACTTGCACTGGCCCGATTGCTGGCGTACTTCGGCTGCTTTCAGAGGATCCAACAAGTCATCGGGCCTATCTAAGGCCGTGTGAATGTCACGTAACCTTGGAGAGCTACAGCCACAGAGCGGTATCACAGCCTATGTCCACAGAGCGGGATTTGCTGGGGTAGCTCGCTGCGTCCGGACGTAAGGTCCCGAGACAGCCAGCGGTGAGCACGTCACATCCGCAGCTATCGTGAAAGTCACGATAGCTGCGGATGTGACGTGCTCACCGCTGGCTGCTCTCTGAGCGTTTGCCAGAGTGGGCCGTTTATAACGAAAGATGCAGCAGGCTCGAAATAGAAATGTGTGATAGTCATTTACGAATATGGTGGATCATATTCAACCTATTTCTGAACACGACGGGTATATTTCAAATTTTGTTGAAGTATCCCTTTAATGTCAAATCTTACCAGAGATCCACAACCTGAATGTAGAAAGTAAGACAATAATCAGGTGAATTTTGATGCCAAATTGAATGTGCGTAAATGAGAAACCGTACGAATGAACAGCTGTGTTTATCTTGAGCAACACTTAAGGAGTATCTATGAGGGATACGTGAGAGCAATAGTAGCCCATTGATAGGGTGACCAGACGTCCCGTTTTGGCCGGGACAGTCCCGTTTTTGAGGTCCGCTTCAGCCGTCCCGTCTTTTTGTCCCAATCAAGAATCGTGTCCCGTTTTCGCAGGAGTGCATAGTTTCGACATTGGCACAAAGCGAGTTGAAGCAAACCGAAACAATGCCTACTCGTTATAAGTATATTTTACAAAAATAGCCGTAGGTACTTTAAAATATTTACCCACAGTAAAATTTGGACTACTGTTCTTGCCCACAAACACTTTTTCTCTCGCGAAGACTCGTGTGTAGACATATTTTTTGACTTACTGAATATAGCACGCATGTAGTATGCTAACGTTTTGAAATAGCAGTTATTGCATTAAATTTTTTTTCCCAATCTCAATTTTTAGTACGCTCCCCCCCCCTCCCCCCCTCCCTGGGCTAGGATGTCCCGTTTTCTACCTTGAGGAATATGGTCTCCCTAACCATTGAGCACAAAACAACTTTTCTAGGCACCCTATATGAGGATACAGTGATGAGGTTTTTTTGCTTGATATTTGAAGGGCAATATGGATATGTATCCAATTCTAGGAGGGCTATTGCCTTTACTGTTGCTGTCCACTTAGCCTATTCCAAGGATATACACATCCTAACATATAGATAGGCTGTATACTTTCCGGTTTTAACTGAAAAACACAGATAAACATCTGCCGGTGTCAAAAATACATGATTGGTTAAAACCGAAAAACAGTTTTTTTTTCTTCATATTTTCAAGGAAGCACTGGTTTTTTTCACTGAAGAAGTTCTGTATACTTCCCCGTTTTAACCGAAAAACACCGATAAACATCTACCGGTGACGGAAATAAAAATTGTTCGCAAAAAAACAACAACAACAAAAAAACACCGGCTTCTAAATATTTTTTCTCTAGCAATGTTTTTTTGTTTTTTTTTCACCGAAAAAGTCCTATGCTAACTTCCGTCAAACACATTATCTGGCCCGGAATCATGCACTTTGCCTGTCCTTCTTTTGTGACCTACATGGTCTTGGACCCTTGGAGGATAGTAGCTTTGTTCCACTGTTCTCTAAGGTCAGCGGTCCTCCTGGGCCACCGACCTTGAAGATCACTATCAGTGGCTGGGGAGGCCAGTCACAACCGGTGCTCTTGTTCTCTTTAGGTGAGAACAGTCTCAATGCCCTTGTCCTATTCAAGTCAGAATAGGAGAACAGTAATCGCCATTGGTTTGGTGCAGGGAATGAAAGGAGAGAAACCTTCCTTTCTCGCCAGGAAAATAACTTAAAAAATAACATTTCAAGTTGCGCATCACACAAACCATATCGAAGTCACCAGGATGGGAAGAAAGCGTAAAGCTCCATATGATTATGCTAAGGTGTTGGACGATTTTGACGTGTGTACCGACCCTTCGTCCGTGGTGTGTAAGCAGTGCCGAATCATGGGCAGCGTAAAAGATGGGAAAGGCGCTAAGAGGATCACGGAGCACGTGTCGATGAAGCGTGACATCCAGCTCAAGAAACCGCTTCTTGATGCATGTAAGTACTTTTTCCTTACAATGTCTTCATTTGATTTAGAGGGAGAAAGCTAAGTTGATGTTTTACTCTGGAGGAGTGCCTATTGTATCTTTGAATGCTTCCATAATTTTAACTTTTTTTTATTATTTTAGTTAGCAATCCTGAGACGTCCAGCCAGAGCTCTATGAAGAGTGCATCACGCGAGTCTCGAGGAAGAAGGATGAGGCCGACGACGTGGCACAGAGATTCTGCAAGGCCCTCTGCAAGGCTGGCGTTCCTCTTAAGACTGACGGACCCCATGGAGACCTCTTTCAAAGTATGTGCCCCGCTGCTCGCACAATGCCGTCTGCGCAGATGATGTACTGCAAGTACTTATGCGACATATTTGCCAAAGAATTGTCTGTACTGCGGGAACTGTGCGAAAATCGTCCGATTCCCCTCACTATCGATGAGACACCTGAGCTCCATGGCCGACCAGCGATTGCTGTACTTATGGCACTGTTTGATTTTGAGCTTCTCTAACGAAGTACCTTTATGGCAGATCTCAAAGTCCTCCAGCAGTGCAACGCCGTCGCTGTTGAGGCAGTTGAGGTGCTTGTACGTTCTCGGGAAGCTTGGCAAGAGTTTTCATGGAATGTGCGTCATTTCCTCAGACTCAGCCTCACACATGCACAAGCTGCACAGAGATATCAAAGTATCCCATGCCGACTTCATGGCACTGCACTTCAAAGACCCATGCCATTTCCTGAACATCACACTCGCCGAGGACATGAAACTGGTTGAGTTCGACGTTGTACAAGACCTTGTCGTCCACTTCTGTGCTCTCCTGAAAAGTTTGCGAGAGCTGCGGCGTAAGTTGAATATTCTTTGTCGCTCTATGAATCTTGAACCGAAGTGTCTGTCCATGGTTAACCCTTCACGGTGATTTTGCTTTTTGAGGCACTCACTGATGTTTTGCATTACTGGCGCCCAATTCTCTCCTTTCTGAAGAGTAATGATGCAGTTGGTCAGAAGTGCAAGAGGCTGAATGCGCTTATCTCAAGTCCAGAGTTCTCGCAAGAATTTCTTATCAAAATTACTTTCATCCACGAAACTTCGAGCTTGCTACTAAACATCCTGAAGGTTCTCGAGTCGGGAAAATCCCTCTTGCACAAGGTGTATTCTCTTCTTGGTGTAAAGCTGGCAACTTTGCTGAAAAGGTGGAATACCCTGCCACTCGAGAGCTATGGCAGTGTTGATGCACTTTTGAAGATGACTGAAAAGGCTCTAAGGTCGGAGCTTGTTGCTTACTTTTCGGCTTACTACCGCGCAGTCCAGAGGGGTGGCTCAGGACTGTTTCACGAAACATTGCTGATGATCTGCAGTTCACGGATGAGTCGTCCTAGTTCCACGTGCAGATAGTTAACCCTTGCGTGCAAATGGAGCTACCGGAGGGATTTGCTCCCTATGAAAGCATCTTCAAGCTTGTTGTGTTGGAATGTAAGGTCAGCGATCTGGAAGTTGAGTTTCTTTGGTACTGCCAGTGTGCCATCAGTGCTGTAGTTGACCCCATGCTCTTTTGGAAGCTACATGCATTGAACTGGCCAGTACTGTCCCAAGCCTGGTTGGACATTTTGGGGCTTCCCGTGTCCAGCCCAAATGTTGAGCGGGCATGCTCGAAGTTGTGCGTCGTCAACAGGAAGGAGCGGGCGGCTGTGACAGACATGGAGCCTTGGAATGTATGCATGCATATACTACAATAATCAAGTGTGAAAGAGATTGTGTAAAAGATAGAAATAAAATTTGAACTGTTTTTCGTCTTCAGTGGTCATTTTATTCACAATTGTTTCCCATGATAATCACTGTTTTTAGCGTCTGCATGAGAGAATTCACCGAAAAGCACTGGTATTCTAGAAATAGATGAACATCCACCGATTTTTGTCATAAATAAACACAGGAAAGTATACACCCTACATATAGACCAGGAAGTGTCCAGCATAAGCTCAGGACAGATACATTGCACTTCAAATTTTGACTCGAAGATTCTTTTTCAAGCATTGGTAAAAATAATTCCAGCCCATTTAATACTGCCCCTCTGCATACAAAGTGAGCACCCAGTTAGTTACAAAGTAACTTGTGTTTTTTTCCTATGATTCAAATCAGATTCTGCAATAATTTTGTTTCGGGTTAAACTGAGCTCCTACACCAAATCTCCAGGAAGTCCGCTCAATCTGCACATCTTTGGTACAAAGTCCCATAATCTCAAAGTCCGAGATTGCTTGAGGGCTCCCTAAAGTGGGCTTCACCTGCATTAAAAATTTCCTTTTCTGGTATTTCAGCTTCTCGGCAATGTTTCTAAAAGTACCAATGAGCAATCTGCACATTGGTGCTCTTAGGCACTACATGCTCATTGGTGCTCATAAGGTTCATCCCCAAAGTTAGCTTCACCTCGGTCGTCAGTCTGGCCCTTTTCCCATATTACAGCTTCTCTGCAGTGTTCCTAAGAGCATCAATGCACAAGTACCAAGTTGTGCACATTGGTGCTACTAGGTGCTACACTTCACACTGAATCTCATTGAACCTGACATGCTGTCAGTGTGAATGGGCTTCCCATTTACAGAAGAGTTCGTACAAGAGACAGTCTGCTTACGGCAATCTTGGCGACTTCCCGTCCGTCCCTTTGTTAGTCTCTTTCATTTTGAGTGAATTACCACCACCTTGCTCATATCAATACTGCTTCCCTTTGCATACTTGCTTTTCCGGCCAGTCCCTCGGTGCATCATCTGACAAGGTGCGAGGACCTGGAGCGCATGCGAGCACGGCACAAGGTTTTCTTCCTCTACTCTGAGGGAGAGAAGGACCGAGATGGGGATGGCTCCCTCAAGGTGAGTTCTCCCAAGATGACTGGCTTCTGCCGGTTGGGGGCTTTCTACGAGTTCCTGATCCTTGAAACATACCCCTCAACATATCATTTTTTTTTGCATCGACTTCGTAGGGCAGGCCTCCTTTGAACCAGTCTTCATTGTTCTGCCCTGTTTGAGTCTCAGCTTCTCTTGACAAAAACTCCGCAAATTTTAGAGCGCAGCTCTTAGGTGCCCGTTTCCATCTTGAGCGGCGTCGCCGTCGGCATAATTGCGCGGTGCATTATGGGACACGTGACGTCACTGATGACGTCATCAGTGACGTCACATGGGGACGTCACTAGCAGAAAAAATTATAAAGTTTCCCCGCTAAATGTAGCAGAAAAAATTCCCCGCTAAATGTAGTGGAAAAAATTTCCCCGCTAAATCTAGTGAAAAAAATTTCCCTGCTAAATCTAGCGGAAAAAATTTCCCCGCTTAATTTAGTGGAAAAAACTTCTTCGCTGAAATTAGGGGAAAAAATTGCCCCGCTAAATTCCCGCCAAATTTACACGCTATGATCTCACCAAAGATGTGCATTTTCTGCGACTTGCGTTGAGCACATAACGATCCACACCCATGTTAGTAGTGGGAGACTTTCTACCTTCTCCCCTCAGTACCCTTCCCTCCTCTGTAAAATAGTTTGTTGTTGGGCGAGTTGGTGAAGGTTTAGATACGTGGTTTTGTGCAAAAAAGATGGACACACGAGAGAGAAACAAACACGGGCGCAAACTTACAACTGTATTGAGGAAACCTTTAGAAAACATACAGATATATCGTCAACTTCAATGCGTCCACGCATGCGTCGTGTCACTATCACACACTCGTCGCAGAAACTTATCAAGGAAGCGTTTCTCAGCATTATACAAACCTATCGAGGTATCGCTCACAGATAGGTCGCCTTTCTTTTTGATAAAGAAGGCTTCCAACAGCTCACATACTTTTTGTCCTTTACTTCCGCCCAAAATTACAGTGTCAAAAAAACGTGGCTCACACTTACAGTTTCTGCAGTGTGCAGGCAAATGTGCCCTTTCATTAGTCTTCAAATTTTGAGCATGCTCCCTGAGACGGTCGTTGGCACACCTTCCCGTTTGCCCCACGTATGTCTTCCCACACTTAAGCGGGATTTCATAGACGACCTCTGTTTCGCAGACAACAGACGGCCTGGCATGCTTTGTGCTGCATCCTCGCTTCTGTCTGCTTTTTCCAGTAATGCGGGGGCAGAGTTGGCCGAGTTTTGTTGGAGCTGTAAACGCAATCGGCACCCCATGTCTGTTCGCAACCTCCTTGAGGTTATGCGAGAGTTTGTGCACGTATGGTACCGCTTCAGGCCTCACATTCCTCAGTGCTGACTGCATCTTTTTTCTAACAGTGTGTCCCTTCACTCTTTGCAGGATGGTTTCTGCCTTACTCCTCAAGACCGAATCAGGGAAGCCCGCTGACAATAGTTGAGCCAATTGGTTGCTATAGCTTGCCTGTATCCTGTGAGCACACGACTTTCTGAGGGCAGACTCAAGGCAAAGCTTAGCAATTCCTCTTTTAACTACCTTTGAATGAGTTGAGTTATACGGCAGGAGTTCCTTTTGAGACCGCGGGGAATACATCCAACAGACGTGTTCTTCCAAGAACAAAAGGTATCAGTCTAAAAACTGAAGGCTGCCCTGGTTGGGCAGCTCATGTGTAAAAGACAAGCCTTTGCCATGGTGTCTGAAAACCTGTAAAACCTCATTCACACCATCAGTGTACGTCAGAGAAGTCTGCTTTCTAAAAACAATAAAAAAATCATCCGCATACAGTCGAACCCGTTTATAACGAACCCGGTTAGAACGAATTATGGTCTATATCGAACACACAAAATTTTAAGATCAATATTCATGAGAAATATACTTTCTATAACGAACAACACATCGGATATATCGAACTGCGAGCGCCCGCTACCGCCCCCGTGGAGACGCGCGGGCTTCCCTGCAATGCACAGAGTGACAGAGGACAAGAGAAAACCAAGAAAAACACGATGACTCTTGAGAAGATGAGTCACAAAACCGACTGCGAACGCCCGCAACCGACCCCCGCGGAAGCGCGCTGGCTTCCCTGCCATGCACGGAGCGACAGAGGACAAGAGAAAACCAAGAAAAACACAATGACCCTTGAGAACATGAGTCGCAACACCGACTGCGAACGCCCGCAACCGGCCCCCGCGGTAGCGCGCTGGCCAATGATAGAGCAAGCGTGCAATGACGTTCTGATGACATCATCCTGCAGCCGTACCAGGCCGGACATGGCTCTCTTGTTCCTAGCGTTTTGCCGAGGAGGCTCGTTGTTCTTTGTGTCCTTCCTGTTCCCGCAAGAGATGGCGACCAAGGTGCGTTCATCGTTACCGTTCTCTACCAAGGTGGAAATAATCCGGCGCGTTGAACGCGGCGAGAAGAAGTCAGAAGTCGCCGCGTCCTTCAAGATCGCCAGAAGCACGCTGAGTACGATACTGAAAAACAAGCCAGCGATCCTGCAAAAGGCCCGAGATCGATCGACCGACCGAATATGTTTCAATATTGAAATTTATTGATAGAAATATAAATACATGTGTTCCATCATGAAAGCTGCCTCGCGATAACACGGCTCTGAGCGCCGGCGTGAGGCTCGCTACGCTCGGCAGCCTTCGTCGCTATTCCGCGCGGTTTCTTTTCATCTCTCTCGCTTTTGCTGTCCTCACGAAATAGCGATATTTGCTACAACGAACTACTTGATATATCGAACTAAAATGCGTGTCCAATGGAGTTTGTTATAAACGGGTTCGACTGTATCTAGAGACTCTACAAACATTACAATCGTTAAGAGCCTGCTCAAGCGTCCAATCAATTGCTGCTAAAAAAATGTTGCATAGTATAGGGGCTACGCACGAACCAATGCATATGCCTTCTGTAAATGAAATTGATTGTCAAAGGAAATAAAATTGCTGTTAAGGTACGCTTCTAGTAAGTTTACAAAATCTTCAACTGAGACTCCTGCCGTGTTCTGGAAAGAAACAGGGCCATTTACTTAATTACGCTCCCAAACGTTTGAAATGCTTGCAGGTTACAGACCCTTTCCTCACAAAGAGATCAGATGAGGTGGCTAATTTCTTTCAGGATAACCAGAGCATAGGGTACGCCTTTTCAGTTGACATTAAAGATTTGTTTTATTCAGTCCCGCACTGTGAATTGTTTAGTGCAGTAAGGGAGCGTATTGACATAAATGGCACTGTTTCTTTCCAGAACACGGCAGGAGTCTCAGTTGAAGATTTTTCAAAATTACTAGAAGCATACCTTAACAGCACTTTTATTTCCTTTGACAATCAACTTTATTTACAGAAGAAAGGCATATGCATTGGTTCGTGCATAGCCCCTATACTATGCAACATTTTTTTTAGCAGCAATTGATTGGACGCTTGAGCAGGCTCTTAATGATTTTAATGTTTGTAGAGTGTTTAGATACGTGGATGATTTTTTAATTGTTTTTAGAAAGCAGACTTCTTTGACGTATACTGATGGTATGAATGAGGTTTTACAAGTTTTTAGACGCCATGGCAAAGGCTTGTCTTTTGCACATGAGCTGCCCAACCAGCGCAGCCTCAGTTTTTAGACTTTAACCTTTTGTCCTTGAAAGAACACGTATGTTGGATGTATTCCCCGTAATCTCGAAAGGAACTCCTGCCGTATGACTCAGCTCATTCAAAGGTAGTTAAAAGAGGAATTGCTAAGCTTTGCCTTGAGTCCGCCCTCAGAAAGTCGTGTGTTCACAGGATACAGGCAAGCTTTAGCAAGCAATTAGCTCAACTATTGTCAGCGAGCTTCTCTGATTCGGTCTTGAGGAGTGTGGCAGAAACCATCCTGCAAAGAGTGAAGGGACACACTGTTAGAAAAAAGATGCAGTCAGAACTGAGGAATGTGAGGCCTGAAGCGGTACCATACGTGCACAAACTCTCGCATAACCTCAAGAAGGTTGCGAACAGACATGGGTCGCCGATTGTGTTTACAGCTCTGACAAAACTCGGCCAACTCTGCCCCGCATTACTGGAAAAAGCAGACAGAAGCGAGGATGCAGCACAAAGCATGCCAGGCCATTTGTTGGCTGCGAAACAGAGGTCGTCTATGAAATCCCGCTTACGTGTGGGAAGACATACATGGGGCAAACGGGGGAAGGTGTGCCAACGACCGTCTCAGGGAGCTTGCTCAAAATTTAAAGACTAATGACGGGGCACATTTGCCTGCACACTGCAAAAATTGTAAGTGTGAGCCACATTTTTCTGACACTGTAATTTTGGGCGGAAGTAAGGGACAAAAAGCATGTGAGCTGTTGGAAGCCTTCTTTATCAAAAAGAAAGGCGACCTATCTGTGAGCGATACCTCGATAAGTTTGTATAATGCTGAGAAACGCTTCCTTGATAAGTTTCTGTGATGAGTGTGTGATAGTGACACGACGCATGCGTGGACGCATTGAAGTTGACGATATATCTATGCTTTCTAAAGGTTTCCTCAATACAGTGTTAAGTTAGCGCCTGTGTTTGTTTCTCTCTCTTGTGTCCGTCTTTTTTGCGCAAAACCATGTACCTTCCCTCCTCCTCCTCCTCAAGAGCTGCACTCTAATTCGGCATTACAGAGGATTGTAATTGTCTAAGTTTTTTTTTCAATTGTTACATTACCCATATTTATATATTGGGGTATATAATAAATACCTAGAACTTGAATTCTGTGCTGCATCTTTCTGTTGTTCTCTAAGGAACTGTGGGATGTGCTCTTAACCCCATAACCCTTGGAACGAAGACGTCTGAACTGCAATCTTAGCTGGTTCTTTCCGTACAGCGCGATCAGTGGCAGTTCTAAGGAGGGTGCGAAGGGAACGGTCCCCCCCCCTCTCCCTTCCAAAACCCCTTTTCTCGTGTTTATTTTTCATTCGCTTGAAGAGTGCGGAAATCCCCTTGTTCACTGGAAGTGACCAGTTGACTTTGA